GAAAAAAGGGGGGGGGGGGAAGTGGCCGTTTTAACAGGTGAGCGTACTATACAGGTGGCCGTCATGACAGGTAAGACTGTATGTGTACTGAGGAGTCCACTTAAACCGAAATTTGCGGGACAGCCGGCTTTCCCTGGGTTTAATTACTGGGTTTTTGGTTGAGAATTTGGCAGTGTGTTGCTCAAATAGAAGAAAACAAATCAAACATTTTCATTTTTTTTTGCCCACCCATGTTCCATTTAAGCAGATTCCATTGTAGCAGACCCGCAAGCGAATTGGCTATGTCTATTTTGTTTTTGCAAGTAGTGTATTACGGCGCTCATTTTCTATCGGTGTAAATGATAAAGTTCACCCTTATGTGAGAGGTGTAAGGGCCCGTGTCCACTGCGACAGACACCAACCAACTCGATTCTATCCGTCTCTCGGAAAGTCGGTAGTTGAAATGGAGTACCGATTATTTCCTAAGAAACCAGTGAACAGTCTGTTTGGCTGTGTCAACAGACACGACACGCCCCGACAAAAGACGCGTCGGTTAGAAGGCCGCTTGTTGCATTTTAGCCGGCCGGGTCGTCACTGAGGAGCCATAGGCCCCGCCGGAGGTTTAAAAAAATCTACTTTTGAGTTCTGATTAAAATTCTAATGTCGTATTCGTAATCAGAGCTTGAAAATTAGCAAAGTCTACGAGCAAACTACCTGGTTTAAATGCATATTAACAATTTTGCCAATTTTCCTTTAAAAACCCATTCATTTCTTATTCCCGCCTTGGGTTCATTGACCTCGACTATTTATAGCCCTGTACCGAGGACACAGCCTGGGGACACAGTGTGTGGAATAAGACGGCCAGTAGGCCAACAGACTAGCGGTGACTTGTCCGAGCTGGTGGACACACAAGACGGAAACGACCCGACCGATATTCTTCCTCCCGGCAAAAGTTCGGGCCGTGTCCGTCTCAGTGGACACAAAGGGTATCTCTCATAAAAATGAAGGTGATTTTCACTTGTTATTCTATTGTCCATATTTGTCCATAGAAGGAAATTGTTAATTCCTCCAAGCCTGACTCGGCCTAGTGACAAATATAATATATTATGCAATGTTTGACCCATGATAAAAGATATGTACACAACCTGTACTTTTTAATTGAGGCAAACGTTCTCTCGGTGGACAGAAAAAAAAAACGCTTGAAAGATGCTCTGAAAGCATCCCTGAAGTGTTGCGACATTCCCCATACCACCTGGGAAAAAGCTGCTTGCGATCGCAAAGTTCGGCGCTCCTTAGTAAGATCGGGAGTCGCCAAGTTCGAAGAAAGGCACACCAGAAAGAAAGAATGGAGACGGCAGCTGAGAAAAAACCGAGAGACCCGAACCTTCCAGCCTAGTGCCGCCCCAAAAATACCCTGCCCCCACTGCAACGGACATTTCCGAGCAAAGATCGCCTGATCAGCCGTCTCCTCCCCAGACATCGGAAATACTCTATACAGCGACAAAGCACAGCTGAATAAAACCTGCAAATTCTTTGCCATATCATCAGACCGAAGGGCTAGAACCCATATGGCCGCTGGATCGGAAAAGTAAAGTAAAGTATCAGCCGTCTCCGCATACACCCCACCCCTCCAGTGATGTGAAGTCAAGGTCATCTTCGCAAACGAAGAATGAACATCATGTGTGTGTGTGCGCGCGCGCGTGTGTGTGTGTGTGTGTGTGTGTGTGTGAGAGAGAGAGAGAGAGA